AAAAATATAATAGAAAAATCGCAATTACTTCAGGCGACTTATATCTTTCAATGGATATTCTGCCTGATTGGTATAAATTTGCCGCCATTATTGAATTGCTATCCTAAAGGCTATGGCAAAAAAGTTATAAAATTTATCTGGTTATGTTTTGCCATATATACTGCATTCCTGATGGCCTTGGTTCTATGGATAGTCTACATTAATAATCTGGTAGTAGATTTTGTGGTTTTTAAAAATGATTTGGATAGTATCACCAGTGTTCTGAGCATTAGTGTCAATATAGTAGTGGCCTTTGTGCAAGTGATTTCCCAAACGATAGCCATTCTTAAGCATAAGTGTCTTAAAATGATTTCGAAAAGAATAGCTCAATTAGAACGTGATATATTGCTATACTTTCAAGAATACCAATGGCTGCAGGATAATGATACGCTTATTAATTTCCATCATAGATGTGAAAGATTTTGCCGTTACATAGGTCTACGTTTTGGCTTGTACTCCCTAGTATTTGGTGTTTTAATCAGCTTTATGAACTATCATTTAGTGGCTTCCGTTATGAATGTCAGAGATAAAGTTTTGACTATACTTTGCACTTTAGCCATACAATTAAAGGCCGTGGAATATTGTATAATTGTACAGATAATCAATGAATTTCTTACATGTTTGCAAGGTTCCCTAAAACGTCTAAAATGGGAAATTGCCAAGTGCCAGGAAAAACCGTTTATGGCTGCAGTTTTTCATGGAAAATTAATGGCCAATCAAATTCTTACGAATCGTGTTTGGTTTCTGATAACAGATATAGAAGAATATTTTGCTATACCGATGCTCATTTTGTATCTTTACAATGGTATCGCTATTACTCATACAATAAATTGGACGTATGTACGTTCGTTTGACTATTTAACTAGTGATCTGGATTGTGGATTGTGTAAGTATAATTTGAAGGATAAAATTTTATCGAATATTTTGTATCTTAGTAGAAGAATTGAAGTAAATGAAACTAAATGTTTTCAATTGCTCGGAAAATGGCTGGTGACAGCCTGATAGTCAAGCAGGACAAGGACGCGACTAAGGGATACTCTCCTGTTGACAATTGCGAAAGCTAATGAAGCTAATTGTCATTGCCATTCTAATTGCATAGGGGTCAAACCATTAGACCTCATATGAAAAGAAAATCCTTATGATCTTCGACCTATTGAAAGCCTTCAATACTATTAGCTATACCCCAATCTTCCAGGATATTCTGCAATCCATAATGTCCAAAGTTATAGACGTGCTATCACAGTATTACCGCTAGTTTCACTCAGATCTCACATAACTTAAACCACCAGAGGGTTTGTGAAACGATGATCCTTTATATAACCTTTGACACTGTCAGCCATCGGCACTTTTACACGATCGCTCCAAAAATGATAAGAGATAAATCGTGAAGAAGCCAGCCTTGATTTGTATTTGTAGGACTTATTGTTGTACCAGCGAGTCCAAGAATCACGGAGTTGTTTGGCCTTGCAGTTCTTTCGGAATTTGGATGGAGAGATTCTCGTATCAAAAACTTACTAAGGACTCCAAATTTCTACATCTGAGTCAGCTTGCAATAAAATACTTCGCCTTATGACATAATTGCAGGCATATAATGGTTATTATTTTCCGACTCCCAGAGCATACACCATGTTTGGGATAAAATTTAGCTGGAATCAGATCACTCTCATATATCTGGCACGGGCAGTGGTCTCAATTCCAAAAGTTGGGACCACTACCTGTGAAAAGAGTCTTAAAGAAGGTGCAAATCGTTAAAGTTCGTATATTAGCCCCCGGGCAAACAATTCAGTAAATAAGCCCTCAGAGTTCAAGACGATTTGAAGAAAGAAACTCAAAATATAAGCTTCGTCTGTGCGATCATTGTTGTACCAGCCAGTCCAAGAATCAGGTGATGACGATATTCTTAAGATTGTGTTGTACGCATTTGACCACAGCATCCAGTTTCTTCTCGGTATGCACCGTACGTAAGGTGTCAAAGTGCTTTACAGTGGTCCTTTTCATACACATGGTGAGCGACGACTCACCACAGCCCCTTTGTGTAACTTACACACTGGTTGCAATTTTTATACATGTTTCTGCCGGTTCATTTGCTCAAGTACTCGAGCTAGCTAACCTCTGAATATTGCTGCCCCGTTGCTTAACTTCCGTTTACTACCATCCGACACACTCACTCTAGGCATACGGGTACGCACACCTCTACATACACACTTGACACCAACTCATTTCCAAAGCTTAGTTCCACAAGCACATAATCTTCCGGCGAATTTAGATTTCATCCACTGCCACCATATTCACCCCGAAAGAGCCTCTCCAATAACCGAGACAAGACAAAGTCCGAAACTCTGCCCGGTGGGCTTTAGGTTCCCGTGGCACTAGATTACGTGGTTTTCTGGTTCGACCCCATGTGAAGTGATTCCAAGGAATGACCGAGGATATATTTGATCATTAACAGTTTATAGTCCCGGTATAATAAAGGTACTGGTAACACCTCTTTTCCACGGGATTGCCATAGCACCAAGATGGGGGAAGATTCATCAAGGTAACATGCTCACTTGAGTAGCGCCATACCTACGAACGTTGTTTAACCGAAAAACTAGTTATTATGGTGTAGTTGAGTCTTTTAATCGCGATAGAAATAACGAAAGAGTTAACTGTCAAACGAAGTGTCATACTGCGTTTACTTTCGACATTTATGATCAGAATAGTCTGGAAAATCTTTTCAAATTATCCTAATTTTTTGTGAAAATCGTCGAACTTAATGGCCTTCATGTTGCAACTACACCAAAACTTCGAAAGACATGGGCGTACTAAGGGAATATCGCCGCTGCAAAGGAGAGTATTGAATTCGTCCGTCGGTTCGCTGAAATTGGGGCTATATCTTTCCAATTATGTGATAATTTTGCGATATGAACTTGATCTACACCCCTATTAGATCCTGTTTCAGGAATTAAATCCACGACACCATCATAAGCGTCGTTGTTTCATTGATTGGGATCTAGAGCAGTTGAAAACTGATCTATTGTTTTAATGAAAAATTGTGTTCAGAGATTAGGGTTATTTTTTTGGTTAACGGGTTTGTTAATATACAAAATTACCGCAAATGGAGCGAGATAAATCCACAGATCCTACTACATTACCTAGAGAAACATTAACCCATTGATGCGGTTTAGACACTTGTGGCATTATCGGATATTTTTATTCAAAAATAAGGTCGGAGCTTGCGTTTACGGATAATGGAAATCGTCACCACACCATGATCAAAGATATTTTATTTGCAAATACAGATGAAATTGATTCGGAAGAAATGTGGTCTCAACAGCATACCGCTATTAGCTTTTGTGAGTTCTCGGAGCCAATTAACAGACTCATTTTGCGTTAAGTCCTTAATGTCGTTAACGAACTTGAACTTGATTTCAACAATATTACTAATTATTCGAAAATAATTTCAGATCGTTTGTACTATATAATCTTAACATTTGTCAATATGCTACTGCCCTGTTGGATGACACAGCTATGCATAGACAAGGTCAGTTAAGGTCCCCAACTAAAGCACACATTTTCACAATTTCAATTCTATTTTCAGTATAATCAATTCGGCTCGATATTGCACAATATCAAAACGATCGACGATGTAGCTTTAAATTATCGTATTCGCGAATATTCTTTACAACTTAAGCAACAGAAAATGTTGTTTACCTGTTCGGGTTATTTCAATATAAATTTGAAATATTTTGGCTTGGTAATTGAAGAGAAAAGTATTTTGGAAGATTTATAATGTTGTTAATAATTTCAGATGATATTATCGATATCTACTTATGTGGCTATATTAATACAATTTAAATTACAAAAGGAAACGGAAAAGGCAAATATTAGATTGTAAGCTAAATTATAAAATATGTAAAAATTTAAAAGTATAAATATAAAAACTTGAAGTTCTCTTAAAAATTTTGAAAAATTTAAGTTACTTTGGTCGTCTACTTTGTGTTTGCTGGTATAAAGGTGGATATTAATTCTCATTAAACTCCATAGTTATCCAAGTCCTCTAACAGTCTTTATTGATTATAGTTAGTTAAATTTTATGTTATAAATACATTGCAGTACATACTCGAAATAGGTCACCGAACACATACATATAAATCGATAACGAAATAACCTTTCACCACCATTCCTTGACAGACATAAAATTTATTATGATATTAATATCATAACGCCCACATAAGTGTTATAACTTGTTTACACTATGAAAATTATATTGTTTTCATTATTGAATGGAAAATAATAAAAATGTAATTAATTTTGTTACAATTATAAATATGAAATTTAAGACGTTAAACTAATAATTTGGTTGTGTCACAGACAATTGGCCATTGGGTTAAATTACATCCTTGTTGTTAATAATTCTTAAAGTCAATGTAACATTACGTAAAAAGTTGTCTCTTTTGCAACAAATCTTCATAAATTCCTAAGATGAAGCTATACTTTTCCCCAATTCCCTGTTCATCTTTCCTCACATTTCTTAATTTTAAATTCTTAAAATATAAATTTTATATCAACTGCCTAAATATTATCGTCATTTTCTAACCACACTTTACTTTATGTACTTTATGTCTGGACATAAAGTATATTGAAAAGGGAAAACAGTCTATCATTTCAATTGTGTAGTTGTTTGTACCTTGTTTTGTGGCAAGTTATTTTCACATTTTACCTCATACTTTCGAAAAGAAAGTATTTGTACCCTAAATAATTGTATAGACTGGACATTTATGAAAGTCTGTTTGCTTAGCAAGGTTGTTCATAGAGTCTTAATTTATTACTATGGATGCATGAACTGAACTAGAACTGAACTAGAACAGGACTAGAACAGAACTAGAAAGAACAGAACGGAACTAGAACAGAACTAGAACAGAACTAGAACAGAACAGACCAGAAACTAGAACAGAACTAGAACAGAACTAGAACAGAACTAGAACAGAACTAGAACAGAACTAGAACAGAACTAGAACAGAACTAGAACAGAACTAGAACCAAACTAGAACAGAACTAGAACAGAAACTAGAACAGAACTAGAACAGAACAGAACTAGAACAGAACTAGAACAGAACTAGAACAGAACTAGAACAGAACTAGAACAGAACTAGAACAGAATAGAACAGAACTAGAACAGAACTAGAACAGAACTAGAACAGAACTAGAACAGAAATAGAACAGAACTAGATCAGAAACTATAACAAAACTAGAACAGAACTAGAACAGAACTAGAACAAACTAGAATAGAACTAGAACAGAACTAGAACAGAACTAGGTCAGAACTAGAACAAAACTAGACACAGAACTAGAACAAAACTAGAACACAACTAAACAGAACTAGAACAGAACTAGAACAGAACTAGAACAGAACTAGAACGAACTAGAACAGAACTAGAACAGCACTAGAAACAGAACTAGAACAGAACTAGAACAGAACTAGAACAGAACTAGAACAGAACTAGAACAGAACTAGAACAGAACTAGAACAGAACTAGAACTAACAGAACTAGAACAGAACTAGAACAGAACTAGAACAAAACTAGAACCGAACTAGACAGAACTAGAACTAGAACTGGAATAGAACTGAACTAAAACTGAACTAAAACTGAACTAAAACTGAACTAGAACTGAGCTATAACTGAACTAGAACTGAATGAGGCTATGCATCCATACCAATGTCACTTTTTTAAAAAATTCCTTTCGGGAATACCATTATTGTTTACAAAAAATATTCCACAATAAATACAATGTTGTAAATTAACAAAAAAAAAAGAAAAACCTGGAATTACCACTTGACAAATCATCCGTATGCCTTAATGAATTGTGGGATTGCCAGTACTTTTACACTGACAGAAATTTTATATGCAAACGTTTATCATATATTTGTGTTAATTGAAGGTTTACAACACTTTAGCAAAAGCCGGAGTG